ATGAACGTAATCAGAACCTCATAATTAAAGTTTATAAAAATGACAACGAGAACAAAACAACTTCCTTTTTCTTAGTTCTGCTTGGAATAAGAATAAATAAGGGATAGATAAGAATAAATAAGGGATCTGACCCAATGTCAGATAAAAATGATGAATTTAAAAGCTGAATTACTACTTTTGTTGTCTCGGTAATGAAAGAAATGCCAGACTAAACTCATTTCCTTCTTTCTTTTTTTCTTTTCAAATGAAATAATTTGCTCAGGAAGCATCATAGAAGTATTTCGTCTTGACCTCAAGGAAACACAGAATAATTTCTCAGTATATCTTTACGGATAAAATGGAAATTGGCCGGCTAGGGATTAATTGACTAGACATATGAGAAAACATATAAATTATTTTGGATTATTGTTGTTCTGGAACATAACTTCTAAGATGAAATGAGGACATCAAGCTCTCCCCTACCCTATATTATAATTTATTTCCAATTTACCCCTACCTTTAAAGCAGAAATGTTGCTGTTAGAGAAATATGAGTTATCTTTTCTTGATATGGTGTTTCACTTTTAGTTTTCAGTTTAAACAAAAAGTGCAATATTTATACCATGGGGAGAAAAGCTGCAAAAACCTCTGACTTATAACAATTCACTTCAATGAATTTATATATTCTAACACATTCCTACAGTTATATTAACCCTGCTTGTGTTCTCTTCCCCTAATCCGGATATTACACTGTGATGTGTGGATTGAGAAGTTATCAACTGGGGGATGGCCCTTACATTTCTCAACATTTTGGGACATATGCAACCCCCTCGATATGTGTGTGGTGTTGGGGAATCGTGGGGGTAAATCCATTTAAGTGGACCTGTTGTGTTTGACTGAATTGCAGCCATCTCCATAGGGACAGAAAGCAGCTCTCATAACCTCGGCGTGGTTGTTTTGCCTCAGGTGTACCGGAGTTTGGAACACGAACTTCAGAAGCACGTCAGCCGGCAAGATACTCTGCAGCAGTGCCAGGCCTGGCTTTCTGCAGTCCAGCCAGATTTAGAGTCAAGCCCTCAGCCACCTCTTAGCAGGGCAGAAGCCGTTAAGCAGGTAGTAGACTCTTGAAAGTTTATGTCATTCTTCTGAGTCATTTGGACAGTCAATGAAAGCATGCGAAGTTCCTGTGATGTGCCAAATTGTGGAGGCTCCTGGGAACCTAAAAGTATAAATGAGGTCTGAGCTTGGCCTTGTTCCAGCCAGGAAAACAGACATGACACTAGGGTATAAACCTGGTAGAATAGAAAGAGAATGGACGCTGTAACCAAAACATCAACTGTAATGCCTAAGTGGTGGGGAAACCATGGGGAAGTCACTTAATTTCTCTGTGCCTCAGTTTCCTACTATGTAAAGGGATAATTATAATATTTCTTTTTTTCTCCCTCCCCCACCCCACCTATATTCATATTTCTAAAAGTTATGAAATTCAAATATACCAAATGAACATGATTTGTAAACAGAAAAGCAATACTAGCTCTCCCACAGTTTTGGAGCACAGACAAGATGCTTAACAAATAATTATTGAATGAATGATGAACGAAATGTTAGTTGTTCTCATGTGAAAGGGACCTACTGCATATTAATTTGACATCCATGAGCTTACAATTTTGCTGCCAAGACTTAATCAGCATATGTGAAAAAATATTTTTAAAACTTTTGTACTAAGCAGCTTTTCTGTGTGGCATTAACTGTGTGGGAAAATATTTCAGAGGAATTTAATTGTAAAGGTTATTGTTGACAGACATGACTTAATAGTATTAAATAAATAGTTCAATTTTTTACCACAAACTGAGATTAGTATAATACACTTGTTCATTTAGCTCACATAAGGAATGTGTCTAATTATCCCCCAAAGTATACTTTCTAAAGACTTAAATTATTTACATTATTTAAGCCATTAAATGGTTCACAAAAGTTGTACACATTACACTTTATTAGAGTAGGATTGGGACAAATGAAACATGGTTCCCCTTGAATCAAGAAAAATGAATTAAAAACTGTCTATATTCTGCTTTTTTATTAGACTGTGAGCTTTCTTGAGTCATTCCTTGTCTTGTGGCTGTTTCCAATGTCTTTTATTGAAAACAAACCAGAACAAGGCTTAATTTTCCTCCTTTGTTTGCTACCAAAAAAGAAATAAAAGGAGTGGGAGGAGAAAAAAGTATTAACCCCAGTGACCTTTTGCTAGTGCAAGAAAAGATTTACTGCGTTTACCAGAATAAACTGTAATCTCAGGATACTGACTCTTCTTGGATTCCAGATTACTTGACTATTTCTTCCCCTTATGGCTCTCAAAGGGGTACATCTCCCAGAGAAGGGAATTAGAAATGGTGAAGACATCTGGACTGCAATATGTCTGAAGGGAATGGGTTTTGTTTTGTTTTGTTTCTTTGCTTTGTTTTAATTAGTTACTTCTCCTTTGGCAAATATATTAAGTCCTCACTTAATGTCCTCAATAGGTTCTTAGAAACTGCATCTTTAAGTGAAATGACAAAATGGTGTTGAAGGAAATGATGTCGTTCGAAGACCTGCTGTAGGTCGTTTTGCTTAAAGTTGAAGTTTTGAAGAACTATCAAGGACAGTCAGTGAGAACTTACTGTGCTGTGTTCATGAATAACTGAGAGGGCCCTTAGTGGCTGGCTAGTTTGGATACGTGACTGGAGAATTCCACTCCTGATGGCATCAGACAGTGTCAGCTTGGGGTGAGGCTTTGACCGGCCGCGGTTACAATGGTCATGTCCCAAGATGCAGTGTGTGTCCCCAGCACCTGCCATGTAGTAAACACCCGATAAATATATAACGATAATATACTCCACACAACCACAAGAAAATAGCACACTGATTTGATTCCATTCAGAGTGCCATATGTTTTTATAAAGCATGAAATGTGAATTTTGGGCAATGGGAAAAAGTACTGTCAAATTTTCCTTTCAAATTGATTTTAGCAAAAATCTTTGCAACTCTTCAGTCACTGATTATATTGCTGCTTCCTATGTATTTGGAATCTGGCCAACTACATAAATCTCAAAATAAATCGTTATTCCTTTCAATTAAATATATTTATAAAATAAAAATTCTCACATCTTATTCTCATTTCCGAAAGGCGTTTGAGACAGATAACTTTCTCTGGGTTATAGCTGCATGAGGTGGTGCTTTTATACAGTGGCTAGTGACTGATGATACTAATTGGAAGTGAAATACCAGTTAGTTTGTACATTAAATAAAAAGTTGCTACTTCTGACTTAATGGGAAATTGATCTGTATTTATTATATCTGCAGGACAGTGAGGTGTGTAGAGAATCTATACAGTGCAGAGTAAAAGATACTGAGATAAGAGTTTTAAAAAGTTAGGCTCCAATATTGACTTTACGATTTTGGAAAACTCCCTAATGTTTCTGTAGGTCGTCTTTATCCCATGCAACTTGCAGTCGATACCACCTTCCTGATTCATCCCTACATATGTAGCAATTAAGAACCACTCTCAGCACCCTGGTCAGGCCACCATCGCTTCTCATCTGATCCCTGTGTAGCCTAACACCTGGTCACCTGCTTCTGTTGCTGCCTGTTGCCCGCTGCAGATATTCCCCACAAGAGGCCAAGAGGGAGTCTTTGAAAGCCCATATCAGATCATGATGTTCCCAATATCTTCCCATCCCACTTACAATAAATTCCAGATTTCTTGCCAGGGCCTATGAATAGGCTGGTCATGCATATAATTTGTTTTCCAATAAGAAACCTTTTTGATAATAAAGAGTCTGCTTTTCATAATCCAATGGAGCTGGTAGAGAGATGGTGACTTCCCTCCTTCCCCCCAGCCAGGGATATTTTGCAATGTCTGAACACATTCTTGGTTGTCCCAACTGCAAGTGGTGGTGATGCTGCTGGCATCTAGTAGGTGAAGCCAAGGACGCTGTTGAACATCCTGCAATGTACAGGACAGCTCCCGCAACAAAAGTTATTTGGCCTCACCTGTCAATAGCTCTGAGGTTGAGGCCGGGCGCGGTGGCTCACGCCTGTAATCCTAGCACTCTGGGAGGCCGAGGAGGGCAGATCATTCTGTGCTCAGGAGTTCGAGACCAGCCTGAGCAAGAGCGAGACCCCGTCTCTACCAAAAAAATGGAAAGAAATTAATTGGACAGCTAAAAAATATATGTAGAAAAAAATTAGCCAGGCATGGTGGCACGTGCCTGTGGTCCCAGCTACTCGGGAGGCTGAGACAGTAGAATTGCTTGAGCCCAGGAGTTTGAGGTTGCTGTGAGCTAGGCTGATGCCACGGCACTCGCCCCAGGCAAGAGAGTGAGACTGTGTCTCAAAAAAAAAAAAACAAAATAGCTCTGAGGTTGAGAAACTCTGGACCAGAGGCATAAACCCAGCAATTGGGACTTATAGTCAGCTCCACTGTAAGGACTTCCTTGATGAGGCCCCTGTCTACCCCTCTGACCTCTGCTCCCACCTAGTTCACTCTGCTGCAGCCTCAGGGCTTTGCATTTGCTGTCTCCCCTCCATGTCCACCCTCCTGCAGTGTTCTTACTCCATGACATGTGACACATTCAGGTCTTTTCCTCAGAGAGGTCTTAAAAATACATGCTCCCCGAAGTACGTAGCCCCAATGCTGCTTCCTCAAACTCTACCCCTTAGCATTTTGACTTTTCTACATGGTATTTAGCACAACCAAACATTCTACTGCTTATTCGTTTGTTTATATATCATCTATCTCTCTCGTAAGAATGCACATGCCATGGGAGCACGGGTTTTGCAGACTGCTTTATGCCTGGTATCTAAAACGGAACCTGCACAGACCCTGAGCATCTGCAAAGAAACACATTTTTCTGTGTTTCTGTGAATAGATTAAATATGCACTTGGAGAAGCCTTTCTTGGAATTGTGGAAAGGGAAGAACACTAGATGAGCTTTCTGCAGAGAAAAGAAGCCCAGCTATCTGTCATTTCCCTCACTCCAACAAAGCCCACAAACTGACTCTGACCTTTGCCTTATGTCTCTAAGATATGCACAAACAGGTCAAGAAGCAGCCCAGAGTAGGCTACAAATTCTTTCTCCGAAATGGACAATAAGCTAGCATGCGAGCACAGGATCTGGAAAAATTATAGAAGTTTCTTGGGTTTTCCTCTTTCCCAGACTATACAGAAGACTGTAATTACAATGAGAAGCAGATGGTGGACAAATAGATCCATGTCAATGTGTTTTGGATTCTTTCCTGTGAGTCACTAATACATGTCGCTTTACGACGATGGTGGAAACACTGAGCATAGCAGGATTATTTTTGAAATGTCACTAAAATATTACAAACAGCACAAATATTTGCTGTCTAAATAGACCATGCATCTCTTTCACTCTGATAATTGCCTCTTTTCAGGTTAAACACTTCAGAGCTTTGCAAGAGCAAGCAAGGACCTACCTAGATCTTCTTTGCTCCATGTGTGACTTGTCGAATGCGTCAGTGAAAACCACAGCAAAAGACATTCAACGAACAGAGCATATGGTAAAAAAAACTAATGGTCCCATTGAATTTGTCTGTTTTATTATATTCTCTTGCTTAAATGTTATATGTGAGATTGAAGAAAATATCTCTTGACTTGTTCTTGCTCTAATGCTTCCATGGCCATTATAATAGATACTTGAGTTTCAACTAAGTCATAGAAAAGTAAGCATTCTCTGACAGTGATGACCCTAAATTGAAACTGAATCATTTGGCCCCATTCAACTGCTACCCGTTAGCACTCTTTCCTCTTTTCTCCTTAATTACCACTCTCTTTTCCTCTTTTCCTATTTTTTCCACACTTTTTTTGTTCTTTTCTCCTTCCTTAGTAATACTTAATATGAACGGGGCTCTTGATCCTTGCTTTATGATACCAGGGATGCCAAAGAGCATGCCATCCGTCATGATCCTTCAAATTCATTGGTAGTGGCTGTCAAGTGTGGTGTTGGGAAAGATTCTGAAACTGTAGCTGGGCTTAGC